TTACATGCTGCTGTCCAATTTTCCCAACACCATTTGCTGAAGAGACTGTCTTTATTCCATTGTATATTCTAACTTTTTTTTTTTTGACAGTTCTACTTAAGTATAATTGACCTACGGTAAACTACATATGATTAAATACACAATCTAAGTTGTTTTTTTAAATCAAGGTACATAGTTTGATTCATCTTGATTTATTTATTTGATTGTGATCTGAGGAGCACTGACTTTTTTTTTCTTTCTTTTAAATTTTTGGCAGGGGGGTAATTAGATTTATTAATTTATTCATCTATCTATTTATCTGTTTATTTATGTGGAGGTACTGGGTATTGAACCCAGAACCTCATGCCTGCTAAGCATGTGCTCTACCACTGAGCTACACCCCTCCCCTAAGCTTTGATATCTGTATACACCCACAAAACCATCACTACAATCAAGATAATAAACACGTCTACCACCCCCAAAATTTCCTGGTGCCCCTTGCATCCTCTCCCTCCTCCTGCCCTGCCCTCCCCCATCACCAGGCCACACTAATCTGCTTTCTGTCACTTTACATTAATTTGCATTTTTTAGGATTTCTTACCTTGGCTTTTGATATACTTTATTTAATTAAAGTTTATATACAGTTTTTTGGATAGTAGCTATCTTTAACAACCAGTTCATAAATTCCTGAAAATTGGATCCTCACCACTCACAAGCCGTGAGGGGCCAGCTTCAGTAGGAGAAGAGGGTGGGTAAGAGAATGGAATGGGACATGAGGGGAGATTCTGGGCTTGCGGTAATGTTCTGTTTCTTGATCTGGGGGCTGGTTAAATAGAGATCTTCACATTGTTAAAATTTAATTGAGCTGAGCACTTACAATATGTGGATTTGTCTGAACTTATGTTGTACTTCAATAAAAGTTACCCCCAAAAGGCGCAAAAATTTAAAAAGGTGGGAATGTTGAGGGGAGGGTGTAGCTCAAGACTAGAACACATGCTCAGCACGCACGAGGTCCTGGGTTCAATCCCCGGTACCTCCTCTACCTCTCTCCCCACCAGGTACCTCCTCTACCTCCCTCCCCACCATCACTCTCCCCAAGATA